ACTTACCCAAAAGCAATATTAAGTTTCTCAATGGATGCCATCGCTAAATATTTTTTAAGCTATGCTTTTGCTGTTTAATTAGCGTTAGTTAGCTTTCACTAAACTCACCTTGTTAATCCCATACACTAATAATGAATATGGAAAATTTCCGTGACACGTTGACATCCATATGAACCATATTCCGGAATGTCCATATGTTGGAATGTCCTATGTCATACATAGCCATCCGCTATGGATTATAAAAAATTGAACCCGTAATACAAAAGGAGTAAGTACGAAATATCCATTATTTAATGCTTCATAAATTAATATGATCTTCATTTCATAGTGATCCCAAAGTCGAAATATTATATCAATGCCCATATTGTCCTTACAAAAAGCCAAAAATGCGCCTGATTTCTTTACACATGAACCCCAAAAAAGTCAAAGGAGAGATGAAGGCACCGCAATGTAGCGTGCGACGTAGAAAAGATCCACCGACAAGTGATGGAAAATGGTGGAACTCAAGAAGATAAATAATCGAAATTAAGATCAAACAATGACAATACTTTTTCGATTTCATGCACTGAATGATGAAACCAGTGAGCACCATCATTTAAATGCACTTTGAAATTGTGATATTCGGCACAAGCACAAATTTTATACCATTTATAAAAGCTTGTAGACTATTTTATACCCTTTGTATAGTCAACAACATACCCTTCATATCAATGTAATTACAATATCTTAGCATTGCATCCATATTCATCACAAGTTAAACATTTTGTATACTTTGTATATCTGTATAGACTGTTGTATACCTATTATATAGTCGATCATAAAATTCAATTTGCGACAATTTAGTTAGATAGTGAGTAAAGTTGATCATTCTGATTTAATTTAGCTATACAATCATCTAGGAAAGGCAAAAAAAAATTGTTATTTCAAATTTTTAACTATTAATCAATAGCTTCAGAAATCAATTGGGGAGTCGATATCCTGAGATGCACAATTTGTTCTTGACATTACTTTGACAGTACTGTCAAAGTATTTTTCCAAAGTCACAACCTGAATTAACCGGCAGCTTTTATGCCAATCATGCATTCTAAGATACACTATTACAAACAATGCATGAGATTTATACCTTATGTACTCATATTAAATTGTAGACAATGAACTTTTATTCATCTATATTCTGGGTATCCCGTATTATTTTTTCATGACATTTTTTTAACTTGATCCAAAATTGATGAAAACAAATCTCTACGTTGCATTTAATAGTCTTATCAATTTATTTACGAAGTTTAAGGCTTTTGAAAACAAGTGATTTAAAATTTATTTAGCTGCATGGTAGAATAATAGGAATCGGAATCTTTGTTCCGCGATTCCATACACCTCGTCTTTCTGGCTCAGCAGAAATTCGAAAATCACACGCAGGCGGCCTGCCATATCGATGGTTATAATGTTTAATCACATCACTTCTACGTTTTGTCGTGTATGCACAGGGTCTATATGGGCATCTGTATACAATTGAACTCTGAAAAAATTGAATTGAATGATGAATAACAGCAAAATTTTTGGCAAATTCAAGCTCGGCTTACCGTTCGTTTTTTTGTTTTTTTTCTCACAGTTACGGCATTCTCCTCTATGTCTTTTTCTTCATCTATTTCGAGGACCTTGGAGGATGGTTCTGAAATTTCTGGATCATTTGTCACAGCTACGGTATTCTCCTCTATGGCCTTTGCTTCATCCATTTTGACGTTGGATACTTTTTCTGCTTTTTTCAAGGATTCTTTACTTTGCTGACTTTGTGGACTTTTCTGGCATTAACGTATTGTAGTCATCTTTTGTAATAAAAAAAGTTTGATCCATTTTGACACACAATTAACTTATTTAATTAAAACACAAAATATAAGACCATACTATAGCTCTATGATTAACATGTTACCGCCAAATGTGTGACATCTAGGGGAAGAACATTGTACTCCTAGACTATGGCTAAACAAGCGCTTTTCATAAATGAACTTATCATTTTTTTCCAATTAAATAATTCTGAATGATCATTTTGAAAACTGTCGAATGAAAATGCATAAGATGGTTGACCTCAGATATCATTTTTAAGACACAAAAATTCTTTTATCCGTTACACCCTTAGTAATCAAAGAAATAATAGTAAAGTTGATCATTTGAGGCTTCATTTCCACACATCAGGATATTGACTCCCAGAGTTAACAACCCATAATTCGTGCACTGACAGTTCTGTCAAAGTAAGGTCAAAAGTACAAACACAAATTTCATACAAATTCGGACTATACAAACAAGTTATCTCTGCATAAGCACGAAATGGGAATACATATAAAGACAAAATGAATATACAAGAAAGAATATGTAAGATAAACAGAATAATATAAAAAGATTTTATTTGCTTCTATTTCTAAGTGTCAAATACTTGGTTTTCATGACACCAATTTTCATCGAGTCTGGTAGCTCGCAATTATTAAAATGTCTCTCCATTTCCATTTGTGTGGAAAATCCTTCTTTACAAACAACACACACAAGAAGAAAATTCTCATTTTGAATGTGGATTTTAATTTTCACAATGTTCCATGAAGAATATTCCGCATTGCATGGACATCCTTCAAAAGCGCAATAGAAACGGGATAATCTCTCGACGAAGCTACTGCGTAGGCTTTTTTTGAATTCCCAACACGCGATCGGCGCGAAATCAGCTTTTCTTACAACTTGAAAAGCATGATTTTTATCATGATAAATTTTGTGTGAATCAGTTGAACTGTAAAAAAAGACGAAAACTTTTAAAAAACTAATCAACTAACTAACCAAACAACAAAACTTACATTACATTTGGAGTAGTTACCACTTCCTTTTGATTCTTTAAAGCTTCATGCAAAATGATTTGCTTAGCTCGAAGCTGATAACGAACGGGCATTTTTATTGCATTTACAATAGCTTCTGCCCCATGTTTAATTTGAAAATTAGCTTTAGCAGCCAGTTCTATGCCAAATTTTATGAATTTTATAAATTCGTAATGTTCATTCAAATTGACCTCTTCATCAAGGTCTGTAGCGTCTTCCTTTTCCACATCCACATCCACATCCACATCCACATCCACATCCACATCGACATCCACATCACATCACATCGACATCCACATCCACATTCACATCACATCCACATCCACATCCACATCCACATCGACATCGACATCGACATCCACATCCACATCCACATCCACATCCACATCCACATCCACATCCACATCCACATCCACATCCACATCCACATCCACATCCACATCCACATCCACATCCACATCCATATCCTCATCCTTATCCTTTTCTTCAGCTATCATTAATTCACGAGCTGACCGAACCATATAACTCAATTTTTTTTTTCGGCGCAACGCTTTTTTGTTTTCAACTGATTTGAAAAAGACACATGAGTCTTTTCCATGGGTTGAAGCGGCAGTTCTGGAATTCAAAATCGTGGAACATCCCATGCAAATGTATGTAACGAAGCGAGACTGTAAATGGGCAATACAAGCGTTTTTGCTCGAGTAAGTAATTGTAGCATCACAGCCACAGTCTGGAGCTTTGCATCGCCAGCCATTTTCATAGATTGTATAATCTCTAAATTTTTTTTCCAACATGTCATCAGGGACAGGGAAATCGAAATCTTTTTCACTCCAAAAACATTGAACTAAGGAGTGCTCTAGAGCACTTATCTGGTATTTTCCAAAAATCCAGATTTTTGACCCTTTTCTCGTGTCGTACAATTTGTAAAAAAGTTTGAAGATGTATTCATCTAAAACTGCGATGATTTTGGTTACGATATCTTCAGTAGCCAAATCAAAATCAGTCTTTAAAACTACATCATTTTCTAAAATTTTACGATGAAGCGTGAGAGTGGAAGACTGATTGTTATCTTCAGATAAGTGTGTTCGAAGATCCTTTCCAGTTTGCTTTCTATTCTTTTTCGGTGACTTAGCTTGGGAATCAGAATCTTTAGATGAGCTTGAAGACCGTTTTGGAAGATCCTCTCCAGTTTGCTTTTTGCGCTTCTTCGGTGGATTAGATTGAGAATCAGAATCTTTAGATAAGGTCGACGACCGTGTTGGAAGATCCTTGACAGTTTTCTTTTTAAGCTTCTTCAGTTGACCTCCAGAATTTGACGAACCTTGCGAATTTTCTGTCGACGTAGATGTTTCAAACTTAACTTTTTCTTGAGATTTGAAAGTTATATTGATAGCAGGAGCTTCAGCCCTCATTCTCTCTAGCTTCTCCTCGAGCTGTGAGCCAAGTTTTTTTTGCTTTTTTTGCAGGTTTGCTTTGGACCCTGTGAGGAATTTAAACATTAATTAGTGAGTAAAAGAATGTAAATTTAGAAAAAATGAAATTTAAAATTACTTACCAAACTCTACCGGTGCACT